TTTTACTGGCACAGTTTTCAAACATTGTTGGCTATCTTAAAGTAAAATTGATTTCTATTTCTATAAAAATAGCTGACACTTGTAAAGCCTTAATAGCCTGCAAGTGTTTATACACATTACTTCATTTAACCCTTGGAACAACCTTGTGTGAAGTGGGCACTATTATCCCTGCTTTGCAGATTTGGAAAGGGAGGCGTGGTTCATAGGACTTCCATTGAATCACATATCCTGTAAACGGTATAGTTTGAGTGCAGACCTAGGTCTTCTGATCCCAAAACCAGAGCCCCTTCCACAACACAATGCTTAAGTTGAACAAGCCAGATGAGAACAGGTGTCAGACACAGTGGCGTCTATCTCTTAAGCATTTGTGAAGGACTCTGTGTTCCTTGTTGACCTGAGTGATTGATTGACTAGAGCTAAGTGTCTTCTGATGCTGAGCAGTCAGTATTTCGGGAACCTGATTGAAGCAGAGTCTGCTTAATAGGACTGTTAGATTTTCATCGTTTCCTGGCGAAGTAATGTGAATTGTTGATGGCAGGAAATTCTAACTTATTTTAGCCGTAGGTTTGTGTAAAAAGGTTCAGTGGGTACTTTGATTATTATCTTTATAGGTGTGAGGGCAAAGCAATTGCACCACATTGACATTCTTCTGAACCTAATGACAATAGGGATTTGCTGGCCTATTCCAATAGAACAACTGTCTTTCAAAGAGTAGACTTCTGAAAACATCAGGATCTATGAATTGCCATTTACTAAAAAAATACAAGTATTAGCCCTGGCTGGTGTAGCTCAGTGGATTGAGTGCGGGCTGTGAACCAAAGTATTGCAGGTTTGATTCCCAGTCAGGGTACATACTTGGTTTGCAGGCCATGACCCCCAGCAACCACACATTGATGTTTCTCTCTCTCTCTATCTCCCTCCCTTCCCTCTCTAAAAATAAATAAATAAAATCTTTTTTAAAAATACAAGTACTAACATTAACTGAAGAAAACTTACTATCAGTCTAGAAATTAGTAGAAACTTTTCTATTCTCTACCCAAGGAGAATTTTAACCTTTAGTTTGTATTGCAAATGATCCTTGACAGTTCTTTTCAACAATCATTTTCCTAAGAAATAATAGGTAGCAAAAACAAGTGTCTCTTTTCCCTATTAAATAGAAAAATGTAAAATATTTCATCATTTTGGAAACTAATGTAAAAGCTTAATTTTAAAAACTTTTTTGAAGGAAAATGGTGATTATATTGTAGTGGATAAATTTATGAAAAAAAAATTTGAATGCCATCTTCTGAAAGACACTTGTGTACTTACTATAGAAGATATAAGGGAAAAAGTGTAAGAAAAACCTCATTCCCTCCAGCAGCTCATTTGACAGATGATAGAGATGACACACACACACACACACACAAACACACACACACACATTTGTGTTGAAAATTAGATGACAGTATACCACAGAAATTATGTGGTAGGCACCGAGTGGTAGATGAAGATAGCACATTCTGGAGGTTGCTGGTGATTATCAAACTTGCTTTCCTGAGCAAACTGTGTAGATAAGAGTAATATTCTTGGCAGAAAGGCCATGAGCAGGTGCCTATCAATGGAAAAGAAGCAAAAACTACTCCTTGAGAGTAGAAATGAAGGATTGGGGTGCAAATAAAAGCTGGTGATGAGATTGTAAGGGACCTTGAAGGAGAGGATAATATAAGAACTTAACATTCAGAATATTTTTTTCTTTCTTTTTTCTTTACTCTTCACCTGAGGATATACTTTATTGATTTTTAGAGAAACGGGAAGAGGGAGAGAGGCAGAGAGACAGACAGACAGACATTGATGTGAGGGAGAAGCATCAATCCGTTGCCTCCTTACACACCCTGACTGGGGATTGAACCTGCAACCTTTTGGTGTATGGGATGACACTCCAACTAAGCCACCTGGCCAGAGTCAGAATGTTTTTCACATTTAAATTGCTATGTAAACAAAACATGTCTAAAATTTTTTAAGTGCAAAAGCATGTGATGTATCATCTTTTCCTTTTTGGCTCATTTTCTATTAAAGTCCATTTATTCTGTCATATTTATCATCAACAAAGAATAAAATATATTTGAAAATATCCCAAACAGCAAACTTCTGAATCTGTCACAGAGGATATTTTTTCTTCATCTTTAATGAAATAGCTAGCAAAAACTTTACTAATAATAATAAATACTTTTGTTTTAAACTGGAAGTTTGGTCTTTAAGTTAAATGTGGAAAAATATCAGTTCAATTAGTTTCTTTCAGGTCTACATTGCAGTCTTATGCCTGTCTTTTTATGAAAATAGCAAGTTCTCCTAGGGAAGGATGGAAACCATTAGCAGAGCCTCGAAGAAGTAACTTTCCCCCTCTAATGCAGATGAAAATACGCAGCTAAAAGATGGAGCTAAAAATATTTTCTTCTTCTGAGTACAAAGTTTCATAAGACATTTTCCTTTTGTTCTTTATGGAATATACAAATTTAAAATGCTTTCCCTATGCATTTATTCTGAAATGGCTTGGCTTTCCCTCGGCAGTATGTGAGGTTAGGCTGTGTCGGTGGGGCCTGTGAGAGCAGCTGGGGATGTGGGGCAAGACAGTGGAGAATGGGAACTGCCCTCTGCAGCTTGAAGGTTGAACCATTATCTCCTCCATCACCACCTGTTTTCTGTACTGCGTCTGTGCTTTCCCTTCTTTAAGTTACTCTCCCTTTCAGCCTCTCAAGCCTGACAACTGATGTCAGCAGTCTTTTTTAACTGCTATTTGGTACAGAAGCTGTACTGGTCTCTGTTGGCTCCCCTGCTTCTGTTTCTGTGCTTGTTTTTAAAGATTGACATTTAGTTACTTGAGGGTTTCTAATGCAGGCTTTGAAGGAGATTCCCATAGCAACCAGTTAAGACCCTGATCTTATTTAATTTTTCAATAACTCTGCTGTGTTAAGGGCAAAGCAGGAAAAGATAGGACTGCTTGGAACCTGAAGCAAACATGTATTAAAAAGAAGAAAAAGCCTTTAAATTTCAGATGACTATAAACAGATACTAATGAGAATTCTGTGTCGAATGTTAACACTTGAAGAATCTTACTGAAGGCATATGGGATTTCAGTGTACTCTCTTACCACTTTCCAGTAGGTTTGAATTTGTCTGAAAATAAAAGGTTACCAGTTTTAAAAATAATCTCAAATGACCACCAACCTTTTCCTAAGTTACTGATGAAGAATACTTCTGGTGTTCCTGTCTCTCATTTTCTGGTCCTCCTCCCCGATGTCCAGCACTAGTTGTACTTTCGTAAAGACCGAGTTAAACAAACCACTGACCAGCATCAGCGCATTCAGTGAGGAAAGACTGTTCTACAAACCATCCTACAGCTTAGTCACTGCAGCTCTCCTCATCACAGGAAAGCTGTCCAGTTTGTTTCTCTCAACTCTGAAGTTTCTTTTCCATCAAAAAGTGTAATTTGAGCCCTGGCTGGCATAGCTCAGTGGATTGAGTGCGGGCTGCGAACCTAAGTGTCGCAGGTTCGATTCCAAGCCAGGGTACATGCCTAGGTTGCAGGCCATAACCCCCAGCAACCGCACATTGATGTTTCTCTCTCTCTCTCTCTCTCTCTCTCTCTCTCTCTCTTCCTCCCTTCCCTCTCTAAAAAATAAATGAATAAAATCTGAAAAAAAAGAATACCAAAAAAAGAAAAAAACTATTAAAAAAGTGCAATTTGGGTTAATTATGCCAAATGCACAATCTTTGGTAGAATCTGTTTTCCGCTTTTCAAAACTATTAAGTTGTGACCTTGATTAACTGGTGGTTGCACTCTTGTTCTGTGTTCAACACTCATATTGTACAAGTTACCAATAAAGAAGAAATGTTAGCAACAAGAACTGTCACTGACCCCTGACACAGGGCCTGGCATGTACTAAGTGTCCTGTGACCATTTCTTGACCCAATAATGGATGATTGAGTGGCTAACATTAGTTACTTACCCCCTGCCATGAATAAGGCCTTAGTGTGCGTTTCTCACTCATCCTCACAACAGCTTCATGTGAACTGTACACGTCAGCACATGTCTCCTGTCAGTACACCCCAGCTCTCCTTTATCCGGTCCCTCTGAGAGGTGGGTGCCCATCAGGTGGATGCTGATCACCTGTTACTGCTTTGGATTTTACCTGCTTGAGCAGTTTTGCACTATCTGGAGAATGTCTTGTGTATACACATATAGTATGCCCAAGCATTTGTTTAACTAATAAAACACTAGAAGCAATCATAAGTTTATATAATCATAAGTAGATATCAAACAGTAGTTTCTGTTTGACTTTGGAATATGTTACATTAATTTCTCAACACAAACCAACTTTCCTGTTTTTGTTTTTGTTTTTTTTTTTTTTTTCATAAAAATTGATTGGTGTTCTTTGAAGAAACATGACTTAAATGCTCTTATCTTTGGATTCAAGGAGAGCCTTAAAAGTATCCTTTTAGATATTATACAACAAATAAACGAATTTGATATTTTGTGCTTTATATTTTATATACTATTTACATTGTATTTTTATGTATGTAATATATGACATTAACATCTTAGAAATAAAATATATATAAATATAAAATATAAAATAAAATAAAAAATAGTTCACCTTGGGAGTGTGATAGATTCTGTCTGTCTCACACTGTTGTTCTGTAGAGTGTAAGCCATGAGGACAGAACTTCGTTTGCTTCGTTCTGGATGAACCACTCCGTCTGTTCATCCAGAAACGTGCCCGGCATCGGCGAACGCTGGAATCAGAAAGCAGGTGCTTTGCACGGTGCGGTGACCGCAGTCAGCAGCCGGGGAAAAGCAGATGCTTTTCAACATGAGGCTTATTGGGATTTAATTTTCTATGCAACTTAGTGAATATTCTAGTTAAATTAAAATCGTCATTAATTTTTAGTGACTAGAAAACTAGTCACTGGTTTTCTAAAATAAGAATTTTTGGCTTCTTTTCTTTCTTTTTTTTTTTTCAGGAAGAATCCTCAGCACAAGATAGAATACAAACACAGTACACTTCCAGGTGAGTAATTTTACTTCAGGAAATTGAAAATGAAGCCTTCAAATTAATATCTTATTAAACCTAATTACAGTTTCTAATTGTTAGGATTTTTTTTTCAAAATTTCCTCTGTGAATTTGTTGAATTGCTCATTTTAATGATTTTTCTTAGATTAAAAAATATAATTTTAATATAGTGGATGTTTTCTACAATCGTTATATAACAATATGTATTTGTTCTTGCACCTGTTAGGATTATTTTCTTTGTAAGTACCTGAAAACAAAATTTCAAATTGGTCAAAATGGTAAAGAGAACTTACTGACTAATCTCATTGAAAAGTCCAAACACAGGGCTGCATTTAGACATAACTTATGCTCTGGCTCGTTAGTATTATCAGTAATGTCACCAATGACACAATTTCCTTCCATCGTTCTGTTTTTGGAGGGATCATTATTGTCCAACACTGGCGTCTCTCCCCACCCTCATTCAGTATGTTGATAAGCACCCACTTCTACATCTAAGGAGAGAGAGAGAGAATGGACAACTCTGACTCCAACTCTACCTGGGAAAAATCATAAAATTCACTTTTTTTACTGGCTTAGATTACATTCTTTTGAACCATTCACTATGGCTACTGATGAGTTTATACCAGCCCTGGAACCAGGGTAGAGTCACCTCCTTGAAGAGCCACGGGGATCCCCACTGGAAACTGAAGTTTTGGGGGAGGGCGGAGGAGGGGGAATAGTCACTAGTCAAGCAATATCAACTGTTCTTCAGTCCTGTTTACATCAGTCTGTTTTACCTTCTGTTTCTCCTGCTTCCGAACTCCATTATTTCTTTCCCTTTAACAAATTCTGGCTTCTCTGTATCACTGGCAGAGGCCAGTTCCGCACAGGAGATTTCTGCCCACAGAGTGAGAGAATGAAATGCATACTCTCCAGGCTCTGCCCACATGCATGTGTATGTGTATAAACACAACCAACTTGCCGCTAAGTGATAAAATAATTAAATTCACCATGGGAAACTCCACTGGATATTTCTGACTGAAAGACGTTTTTGGACTTTGGTAATCCAGACACCAGTATACTCATGTTATCTGAGCTAGTGTGTGTGGAGACTATGTGTTACACGTTAGGCTTTTTGACTGAGGCTGTATTTAGTGATGTAGCATGTATGGTTGTTAACTTCCTTCCCAGCACCAATGTAATAATATTGATTAAAATATATTTTATTGGTGAAGTTTAGCAGTGTTCCATGAAAAGAACATTGGACACATCTGTGAATCCTCACAGCAGTAGGAACCACTCTCCTAAATACTATCAATATGTGTCACAGTTAAAAACACCCGAATTTTCTTTGAAGAGTCTGTTTGAGGTATCTTTTGTATGAAGAACATATTTTTTAGAACAATTAATTTTTTAAGAAAATCATTTTATTTCATTGGAAGGACAATTTTTTACACAGCAGTTTAGCCTTATTTTGTAATGTACTTTCAAGGGTTGTTATGTGTCAGTTTAACTAAAACATCTCTTCCTACTCTAAAGCCTATAAATTAAGGTTTCTGGAATATTTCAAATGCTAGTTTTAATCTTAAGGTCTCATATTTTTTAATTAGCAATATCTGACACAGATTTCTAACATACTTATTTCCAAAATCCTTAAAGTCTAACATTACCCAAGATCTTAATCTTATCTATTCACCGGTCCATTTACTCACACATACATTATGTGTCTAACAAGTGAGCAGAGTTACAGAGAGACAGGACCACAGGTAGAGCTCCACCTGCTAGGGGTGAGATGCTCTAACAGGGGTGTCCAACCCGTGGCCCAACACAAAATTGAATGCGGCTCAACACAAAATTGTAAACTTACTTAAAACATTATAAGATTTTTTTTTCATTAGTGTTTGTGTATTTAACATGTGGCCCAAAACAATACTTTTTCTTCCAGTGTGGCCCAGAGACGCCAACAGTTTGGACACCTCTGCCAGGTAAAACCCGGGAGCCAAGAGAAGGAGCCCTTGGTGCCGGGGTTATCAGGGTACACTAGAGGTGGGGGTTTTAAGTTAAGTTGGTCTTTAAGGTGGTAGGAATTCGATCCTCTTTGTGTTGTAGCTTGTGGTGGGTGGGTCAGGACATCCCAGACAAAGGGAAGAAATAGATCAATCAAGGAAATCAAGGTATAAAAATGGTAAGTTGTGTTTGGAGTTAACAAGTGATCGGTTTAATGGACATGGAGCCTCTGTAGTCCCTGTGGGTGATACTAAAAGGATGTATTGAGGCCAGATTGTGCAGTGGAAGCTCTCAAAGGCTAGAACACAGTTGTGGATGCATCAGCAAGTAATGGTGAACTAGTGTTTCACCAAAGGGAAGCTGGCGATGCCGAACAGTCTGTCTGAGTTAGTGTGGGAGAAGCATGCGGATTAGTTAGGTCATTGAATAAGGGGCCAGAACTAGGCCACTACGAGAGCACAAAGGTGGGATTGGATAAAAGTGATATTTTGAAGCAGGAATCAATAAGATTTGCCAACTGAGGGAATAGGAGTGAGGCAGGATTATAGTACAAATTGTCGGGAGACTGGGGATAACATTTACACGTAATCAAGATCAGAAGGAAGGACTGTGTAGGTTTTTTAAAATTCAAACATAGAGTGGGATATCATAACCACATAATGAGACAACGTAATTTAATATAATACCATGTACCAAGGTATAGTATTTCATGGTATAGAATAGCTACATAAACTCTTACTATTTCATTTCTAATTTGTAGCACTCCTGAAACATTCAGTCTATAAGGTTCTTCCACATATGTCACAATTTCTGTAGTGTGTTCTGTTTTTGCAGGTGTGACTGCTCTCATCCCTTAAGCTTCTTGTGTATCTCATTGGTTTAAAATTTCACCAGCTTTCCATACTTTTACTAAGTGCTGTGGTTTTGGCACAAGATATTGAACACAAGAGTAGTCAGTGCCAGGAAATTGTTATTTTATATGTCTATTTTAGCTATCTTACCCATCGACAGCATTTAAAAGAAATTATCTCCAGCATTTTATCACCTGATTATTAGAGACATTCTTTCTGGCTCTTATTATTATGTAATATGCATTATTATTCTAGGTAATCAGTACCATTCATGGTTGAAAATTTGCAATGTTATACTAATAGTAATTTTAAAACTTCTCTGCTTCTGCAATTGTATGTACACATGTTCTTATGTATTTTTTTTCTCCACAAGTAAAACCCAAAAGATCAAAAAAGAAAGTTCTTAAGAAAGGTTAGTGGAACTTAAATATAATTGTATAAACTGCTACTTAGTGTGGAGAAAACTAAGAGGCTTTAGAATATGAAATAGGCCAGAACAACAGTATTTTTTAAAAAGAAATAAACTTCATGTATAATACAGTAGATCAGAATTACACAAACTGCTTTTTCAAAGCTAAAATATGAGTATCCAACTAGCAGCTTGGTACATTAGAAAGATGAGTCTTTACTTGTTAAATGAAGCATTTAAAAAACTGCTTATTCTTGTAGCATGTAGTAAATATGTATCTTTAGAGATATTGGCCTAAATATTTTTTATGTAATGAAAATTAGTACCCTAGTTTGGTGATTTTTAACCTTTTTTATCCTCATTGCACACAAACCAATTACTAAAATTCTGTGGCACACCAAAAAATATATATTTTTTGCTGATCTGACAAAAAATAGATACAATTTTGAGTTGTTCACATTGGATAACCGTTGTGTTGGCTGTCGTCATTTTTTAATTCAACAGTCTAAAGGAAAAGAGGTCAGTGCCCCTGAAATAGTCAGTCATTGCATGTTTTAAAAATTTTTATGGCACACCAGTTGAAAATTGCTGCCCTAGTTAGTCTTAATATTTACTGGGGGAAAAAAGGAGAATAAAACCTGAGGAATTATCAATTTTAAGCAATAAATCTGCCATGAGGCAGCTGTCACCTTGCATACCATGTATAAAGTACACACATCACACAAGGCCATATTAACCAGAAAAATACCATTTGCTTCTTTTTTAAATTTTTATTTATTTATTTATTTATTTATTTATTTTTAGAGAGGGAAGGGAGGGAGAAAGAGAGAGAGAGAGAGAAACATCAATGTGCGGTTGCTGGGGGTCATGGCCTGCAACCCAGGCATGTGCCCTGACTGGGAATCGAACCTGTGACACTTTGGTTCGCAGCCCGTGCTTAATCCACTGAGCTACGCCAGCCAGGGCCCATTTGCTTCTTTAAAAAAGTGTTTATATCTATCAAATCATCATTTACATTTGATATTTACATTTACACATTCATGTTCTTTTAAATTCCAATAGATTTCCACAGAACTAGTTTGATGCTATTAAAATAGCCTATATATAACATCTTCTGATATTACCATTAGCTTATTTGAAATATAACTGTAGATTGTGTCTGAACAGTCAGAAGTGAGCTTATTTTTTCTAAATCAAGGTGAGTTTTTCTCCTTGAGGTTTATTTTCTTTCTCTTAAATCATGCTATTTAAGTGAAAAACAAGGACCTACAACCTAGATTACTCTATCCAGCAAAGCTAATTGAAAGGCAAATAAAGTGCTTCCTAGACAAGGTAAAGCTAAAGGAGTTCATCATCACCAAGCCCTTATTATATGAGATGTTAAAGGGTCTTATTTAAGAAAAAGAAGAAGATCAAAACTGTGAATATTTAAATGACAACAAATTCACAGCTCTAAACAGCTGAACCTAAAAAACAAAACAAACTAAGCAAACAACTATAACAGGAACAGACTCATAAATGTGGACGTCATTTGGAGGGTAATCAGCTGGGATGAGGAAGAGGGAAAGGGGAGAAATGGTACAGGGATCAAGAAGCATAATTGGGTAGGTAAAAATAAGGGGATGTTAAGAACAGTATAGGAAATGGCGAAGCCAAAGAACTTACATACATGACCCGTGGGCACGAACAAAGGGGAGGATTGCTGGAAAGAATGGGAGTGCCAGGCGGAGGGTGGCAAAGGGGGAAAAATTGGGACAATTATAATAGCATAATCAATAAAATATACTTTAAAAGAGTCAAAAGAGACACATAAAAAAAACTTTGTTGGGTGAGGGGGATGGACAACCACGTAAGAACAACAATAACCAGCATCAGGAAAATGACGAACATTCTAGGTGAAGGACAGGAAGCCTTGTGATCATCTGAAGGAAGAGTGTGCCAGGCAGCAGGAATGGTGACTTCAAAAGCCCTGGAGGTGATCATGTTTGAACTATTCAAGAAGCAGCAAAGAGAGGGTAGAAATGAACAAAGAGAATAAGGGTGAAAGGTAAGATCAGAAAAGCCATCAGTAGGCCAGTTCTGTAGGGTCTTGGAGGCACAGTTCTACAAGTTAAGGACTTTTAGATTTTATTCAAAGTGAGATGGAAAGCTATTGGAAGAGGTTTTTTTGGCTTCTTTGTAAAGAGCAGACAAGAGTGACAGCAGGCAAACCAGTTAGGAGGGGACTAAGGTGTTGGAATGGATGTGGTGAGAAGTAGTGGATCTATTTTGATAGCAGAGCCAACAGGATCTCTTGACATATTGAATGTTGGGTTTCCAGTGGGGGATATTCAAGGATGACCTTAAGGTTTCTGGCCTAAACAACTGGAAAGTTGAATAAGTCATATACTAACACTGGTAAGAGAATGACTACATTTGGGTGAAGCAACTCAAGAGCTGTGTTCTGGAAATGTCAGGTTTCAGATGGCTGTTAGTCATCCAAGAAGCAATAATACATAGTCAGATAAATGTGAGTCTGGAATTCAGGTAATAGTCAGGGCTTAAGATTAAATTTGTGAGCCCTGACCAGTGTGGCTCAGTTGGTTGGGTGTTGTTCCACAAAGCGAAGGGCTGCTGGTTCAATTCCCAGTCAGTGCACATGCCTGCATTGCAAGCTCAGTCTCTGGTCAGGGTGCACTGATCTGTTTCTCTCCCTCCCATCCCCTCTCTCTAAATATAAATAAATAAAGTCTTTTTTGAAATATTAAATTTGTAAATTTAGGATATAAGCCTGGATGGACTCATCTAGCCTGAAACTTGGGTCCTCCGAAATTAGGGGCTGGGAAGATAAGGAAGATCCAAGCAAAGGAAGGAGACTGAGAAGAAACAACCAATAAAATGGAAGGACAACCTGAAGCTGTTTCAGCCTAATGTATATTTTTCTTGTAAATATGCCAAGAAACTAAATGAAAGAAAACTCTTGATTGAGCTGTCATTAGATGTACACATACACACTCATCACAGGGATTGTCCTTTGCCATTCAAAAGATTTCCAGATAAAATTGCCCTACTTGTTTCTTAAATGCTCCTCATCACCCCAGTGTCTTTCACTGCCTTATTCTAAACCAACTCTGTTGCTCACTGTGGAAAGAATATAAAACAGAGAGGGGTGAGGGAAGAAATTAATTTGGAGACAGAAGAGTTCTAGTATTATAATAATAATAATAGTAATTAGAAATCTATAAATTCTAATAGCTGTTTCCATAATAATCTCACTTTTAGGGTGAACTGTAGAATATCATAGATTTATAAACTAAACTTCCAAAGTATATAAACTTGTATCTTCTCATTTGATCACAGTCCTTCTGTGTCAATCAGATCATGCTAGGTTTGCACAAAAATCCCCAAATTTCAGTGCTTTACACAAAAATGTGATGTGTTTCTTCTTCATGTTCCAGCTGCATGTTGGCTGTGGCCTTGGCCCAGCTCGGAGTTCAGGCTGAAGGATTAGCTGCTGTCTGGGACACGCTGTTCTCATAATAGAGGGGAAATAACAACAGAACCCCAGAAATGCTCTGAAAGTTTCTCCTTGCAAGAGCACACACCACTTCCACTCACTTTTTTTTTTGGCCAAATCTGGTGTCATTGGGAGTGGAGAATTATAATCATATCACTGGGAGGGGCAGTGAATAACTGGGACAAAAATACATTCTACCATCCCAGAATGTGGGGTAGCCTAGGTATGATTACGACATCATGAAGAAACCATTATTATGAATCTCATGGGACATTTTAGTCTCAGGAGCCTCGTGGTAGGGAAACTAGAAATAATAAATAACATGTGGTCATTTTAGTTCCCTTTCTAGAAGTTTGTAGTGATTTGCTATGTGTTAAGTAAAATTAATTTTTCTTGGTGCAGAAGGATATTTTACAGTTAGCCATCTCTAATCCCAGGTTGAGTGGCAATTCACGTTTTGGGTACCAAACTTCTGTCTTCCAGGGAGAAGCATTGTAGAGGAAGACGATGGGCAGTCCAGTGAGCAGGACCTGAATGACAGCTTTATAGATGATGAGGAAGAAGAATATGAGCCAACAGATGAAGACTCTGACTGGGAGCCAGGAAAGGATGAAGAGAAGGAAGATGTGGAAGAGCTTTTGAAAGAAGCAAAAACATTTATGAAAAGAAAAAAGTAACTTTTCTTCAATAATACATGGCTCATGTTTACTCTTTCTTTATGGAAAAACATTCAAGAACTAAGGAGGCACTTAAGCAATAATTATTTTCCTTTCTATAGCTAAGACTTTACTGTTGACCCACTGCAAATGAAACATTGAAATGTCAGCCCTCGGTGTAGTGTATGGAATTTGTTTTGTCACTTTGCCTTTTCTATCCTATTTAAAGCATCTAGAAATGGAAAGTAGAGTTAAAGAGAAGTAATTGATATTTTTCACGTACTTTGTCTGTTGGTTATAAAAAGCCATAGGTCGCACAAAACTTTGGTCTTTTCTTTTTCTGTTTTCCAAAGATTCTGTCTTTATTGAAAACTATGCAAGTATAACCAGGCAAATTACATCATGGGTGGAAAAGCATGCCTCTTTTCATTGCTATTGAAGTAATTCTTCAAGCAGAACCAGGCCTTAAAAGATGACAGCCATCATATAATAGCTCTTATTTTTCTAGTATCCTAGATACAAGCTTTGCATTTCATTTAATACTTTTATGCTTTGAAACCTGGGGAAATTGGTACCAAATGGATATCAAAAATAGATTCAATAAGACTATAGAAGAGAAATGTTTACCACAGAGGGAATGATATTCTGTGCCCCTCAAAACAAATCTCACCAACGTGGAATTTTGAACTATCTTAAACAGATTAAAAGAATCCTTCTAAATAGAAGAAAAAGGTTGAAATTGTAAGCTGTATAGAAATAAGCAACAGTGAGAGTATTATGTTACATATCAAGTAAGACTGTACTTGAAGGAGGATAATACTATATAGTCCTAAATGTATTGCATATATTAAGAAAAAAGATTACAGATAAGTGAATTAAGTATTTAACTCAAGAAGCTAAACAAAAACTTCAAAATATACCCAAGAAAAACAGGAAAGAATAAAATTTTGAAGTAAAATATTTTTAAAAGCAGTAGACTTGATCAAGACAAAAATAGACTATTTGACATCATTGATAAAATAAATACTTTAAAAAAGACATATTAGAAATGAAAAAGAAGCCCTGGCTAGCATAGCTCAGAGGATTGAGTGCGGGCTGCAAACTAAAGCATCACAGGTTCGATTCCCAGTCAAGGCAAATGCCTGAGTTGCAGGCCACGACCCCCAGCAACTGCACATAGATGTTTCTCTCTCTTTCTCCTTCCCTTCCATCTCTAAAAATAAATAAATAAAATCTAAAAAAAAATTTGTTAAAAAAAAAGAAATGAAAAAGATTAAAACTATAAATCCAATGTAAGGGGATATGTACAAGTTTATGTCCATGATTTTGTAAATCTAGATAAATGTATGACTTTCCATGAAAATATAATTTACCAAAATGTACTTCAAAATATGTTTTTAAAGTCTGAATAGATCAATAACTATAGAGGAAATGGCAAGTATTCAAAGATCTGCTCTCACTATGGTACTAGACGCTGAGTATTACACGTGATATATTAAAAATTTAAGAGCTATGAGAGACTTACATAAATGGAGATACACAGCATATTTCTAGGTAGAAAAATGCAGTGCTGAAATACATGTTGATTAGCTTGACTGCAGTAATCACTTCACAATGTATACATATCAAACTTTCATATTATGTACCCTAAATATATACAATTTTATTTATAAACTATAATATAGTAAAAAAAAGAAAGATAAATTCTCCTTAAATTAATATACAAATTCAGGGCAATCCCAATTAAAATCTCAGATAGATTCATTATAGTTTTACAATCTAAATTTTTAACAGGTTTTCAATTCTAAAATGAATTTTAAAGAAAAATGCACTAGACAAATAAGTAATTTTTGAACAAAAATAATGGGGACACTTTACTACTCATCAAAATGTGTATATCAAACAAATAAAGCTTCACATACTTTCTAAAAAAATTATGGTGATGCAGAAAAAGACAAATAGATGAACAAAACAGAACAGAAACTGAAGAAGCAGATGCAGTTATATATATGAATTTAATTTATGATAAAAGTATGATTTTAAACCCATTGGGACAAGTTGAAGAAATTATACTCGTCTCAGATTCTGATAAAAATAAAATTCAAAAAAATTAAAGAAGATACCTGGGGGAAGATGAAATACAGGAAGGGAACCTAAAACCCTTCCCTCATCTCATGGGGAAAGCCCTTCTAGGCGAAACCTGAACCTCATAGTCTGTGACCAAAGAAAGGACACATTTTACTCATACAAATAAGGAACTTGTTTCAATTGAGCAACAACACAGTGTGAAAATATTTGCAGCACATGTGATGTGTGCACAGACAAAACCCCTACAGATGATATTAAAAAAATGGATGAGAGGCATAACAGGCAATTCCCAGAAGACACAGTTTGCCAGTGTGTATGTGAAAATTCTCAACCTTGACTGTGCACAGGTACAAATTAAAATGATGATGTAGTTCTCAACTGTCAAGTTTTGAAATGTAAAATATTGAACCCTTTCAGTGATAACAAAGAAGAGTTCATTGATCAAGACTTTCTGGAGAACAATGCAGCCATAGCTGTAAGTATTTAAAGTACATGCCTTTTGACCCAGCTCTTCCTGTTTTAGGAAACCATCCCATAGAAACATTTGTGTCTGAGTGAAGATAACTATACTAAGAAGTCCACTGTAGCTCTCTCTGCAATTAGAAAAGAAAAACAAAAGGGAAGGACCCACATTTCCAGCAGTAGAGACATGGTTAAATCTGTGTCAGCCAAATTATGGAATATTATGTAGCCATTAAAAAGAACAAGGTTGACTTATGTAGTGATATGGAAAGCTCTCCAAGAAATGCTATTTTTAAAAAGGAACTCATTGAATAATAAACTCAGTATGATTGCACTTATGCTAATAAGGAGTACCTGTATATATTTAATATAAATAGAAAAAGACCAGGATACAGATAACTGTTCATAGTACAATACCTACCTAGGAGAATGGAAATGGGTATGGGAAGGAGAGGGAAGAAGGGGTAGAAGGGTGGACTGTCAAGTTTAATCTACATACTAATGTATTGCCTGAGTCTTATAATAAGAATGTATTCAAGAAAGCCATTTAACTGGTAAACACGTAGGAGATTGTGTGGATTCAAGGCATACCACATGTCATGGGTGTAAAGCAGTGAATTCCCTAGTCCAAATCTGATGGAGAGAGCAGTTTTAGGGAAAAAAGTAAAAGCTGAACTTCCCCAGTTTTCTCCAAATGTCAGGCACTTACCAAGATAATCCTATAAGGCCTGTTGGGTGCGGACTTTGGGGAAGTGGGGGGTGGAGGGTCATTATAAGGAAAGACAAGATGACCCAGCTAGAACTGCATCTTCACCGTTTACCCCAAGGAATCCTCGCCTTCTCCCGGGTCCCTGGACTCCTCCAGTGTCAGCCTCTGTGGTGGACACTGTGTGCTCTGGGTTCCTCTGGAGGTCTTGGTGCTTGGGCCACCACCTTCCCCCCCCACCCCACCGCCATTGTCAGCATCATTAGGCCAGCAGGTGAACACCCAGTCATCGCTATTCTATGTATAATATTTCATCAGGACAAGGTGAAAAGCCAGGAGGTTTTCATCTCGCGGTGCTGCCCCATGGATAAGGAAGTGCAGGCTGAAGAACAAGAGCTAATGATGACTCTGAACAATCCCTGCCCGCCCCAGTCAGTGCTCAAGTGGGAAGTCCAGAATATTCCCTAATTGTGTCAATGCTATATAAGTTATAGAAGTATAGCATTAAAATCCATCCATTTTGTGTTGAAGGAGAGATTTTATTGTTCCAAGCTGAGATTAAGCCAACCGTGTGCCCAGCACTCTGGGCCAGCATTACATGCTGGGGAAACTGCCTTCCTCTGACGGTGTTGATGACCAAGTGCAGGTGTGTCTAATCAATAGCCGCAGAGCAATCAGCTGCTGTTTTCTTTTACATGCAGCCCTTGTTATTTCTGACTCGTGGCTGACATCTCAAGATGGCAGCAATCATCCACCCGTGCTTACATAACCACCATGCCACCTGAAAAAGAGATGACCCTTTTGAGACTTAGCAAATTTACTGGTGTGTGAAATAAACAAGTGTCTGGAATTAGCAGTCTGGATAGTTATGTAAGCGTTCCCTAGTCAAGGACAAGTGTTTGTTCTCCCCTGTAGGGTAAGTGGAGGCAGTCTGGCTTCCTCACCCAGGGGTCTGGGTAGCTAAGGGGACCAGTGTTCCCATAGCCTTGGAGGGGCCTGATAACCAGTGTTCTCACAGCCTTGACTCTGGGTCTGATAAACTGTTCCCATAATATGAAGTAGGCTGACACGTGCAGAGTTATGTTATGTTATGTAGTGTTCTGGCATTTTTCCGGCTTTGTTCCCCTCTAGTACTTAAACAAGTAGGGGCTTCTCACCAGGGAGATGTGCAGAGACACACGCAAGGGAACAGGTGCCACGCCGGGAAGCAAGGGCTATGACATGTCATGCACAGACATGCAGACAGACAGGCAGCTTGCAGCATGCGTGGCTTGCCCACCTGTGAATGAAGGCATGCTAGACATCGCAAAGGCTCTGTGAATATTTTTCCATCTGCTTGAATACCATGAACCTGCCCAGCCTTGGAGGGGCGCAACACAGAACCAAACTTTGTTTTTCAAACTAGCACCTTGCTATCATCCCCCAAACCAGTAAAAGTGATAGCACTTCACCTAAGACATGTCATTTCAACAAAACAGGGATATCACTCCTGTCTGAACAATAGCATGAAGTCGATGAAATTCCTGCAGCTCCACTCAATGCACCGCCACGCCACTGACGGCCACCCCCAGTTCATTTTAAAGAACTTTTGAACTTTTCCTGATGGAAGCTACCCATTCACGGTGAGACCATTCCTGGGAGTGGACCTCTGGGGCCAGGCCCCATCTTCATGATCCTACCCCTCTGACCTCATTGGGGCGAGCCAGCCCCCATCTATTCAGCATGAGGACCCACAGGAGTCCCCGCACTGGGGCAGTTCACACTGCACTCCGGAGGCCAGCTGCCCAAACCTGCATGGCTGAGCTTCAGAGATGCACCGTGGCTAGTCAGCCTGCCCTTTCACCAAACTACCCCAGGTTCTGCTTTTATTGCCCTTGAATTGGTCAGGGTGATTGTTTGTTACATCTAGCAAAAAGAAAAAATAAATTATTACACTACAGTGTAAGTTATGGTTGAGCTGTGTAATCAATACTACAGTTTTCATTTTAATTAAGGAAAGGTTAGTTGTTCACTGCTATGATCTTTCTCTTTCTCCTCTCTCCAGAAGTCAGTAATTAAGTA